ATTCTGCAAAGTCCTTGCCCCCCCCGTTATAGATTCCATCAGTTTCTCGAGAGTATCAGCCGATTGAAAGGAGACGGTCATTGACTCTTATTACCCTTTTGATCACATCTATCGGCAATTGCACATATTCTTGAATGGTCTTCCACGTGCAAAGTTGGGACCTCTTCTTCACAAATCCGACATATTATCGAACTCTCTTCGACACCAGGTTGATCACCCCAATACCCCCACGAGACTTTGTGCTGGTGCTTAGGAATTGGGGTGGGCCCTTTGTGCTCAGTCACCTTGGCAATAGCTACCTCGGTATCACTGATTTCTCTTTGATTTTCTAGTATAGTCGAAACTTCAACAATATCCTCGTTGACTGAAGGAGCTTCTTTGGGGCTTTTTGCAGGAGAGGGAAATTTCTTCCAAGATGCCATACGATTCCTACTAGCACCAGAGTCTAGGTTATCTTTCGTGGTTTCGGCGAGGGGAGATGGAAATTTTCCAGGTACAGCAGGGCGCTCGCTCTTCCACTCGGATTGTTCTTGACTGTGGAACTTCCTCGTCGAGGTAACCTTCAAAGATTTTACGTCATTCGGCAACTTTAAATCCCTTTCGGGGCCCGGAGGAACTAGTTTTTCTGCGGGTTGAAGTGATTGACGAATAGGAAAAACATGTTCGTCCTCGGCTAACCCACTCTCTTTATGGAACTGTAATAATCTAGTACATCTGGTGAGTATAAAAAGCATTCGTGTGTGGAGCTGCTTTAAAACGCCCATTGGAAGTTCTTGACGTCTATCGTCCAACTCTTGCACTATGCCTTCACATTGAAGCCAAAAATCTCCAGGTGAAGTCATGGCACAGCTTCGAGCCAATACCAGCAAGTCCTCTATAGTCTCTTGCCATTCTGGATGCATTTCTGCGTTCTTTTCTAAAATACCGATCAAATCTGCGGCAAAAATATGCAGATCTGAGTCCACTTCTTCTTTTGCTTTGTCGAATTTTGTCCTAATCATAGATAAAACCTCCTGTGTGCAGTTTAAGATAATCATGAGTTTTTTCCAGAAGAAATAAGATCCTTACTGAGAAACAGTAGCGATTTAATCTATTAATATCTAGTTACCTCCAGGTTATTTAACCTTTTCGGCTTCCAAAACGGGTAGGGTCGTACGCCTTTGGAATTCAATTCGTGAGAGAAACTTTTGATATCGCCAGGAAACCTCTTCCTAGGCGCGCTTGTAACGCGGAGTATAGCTTGAAAGCGTGGAGATTCGGACTCTTTGGGATTATCACATTCAAATGATGCCTACAAAAGTATTTGAAATTGGCTAATTTATACGTATTAAATTACAATAGCAGAACTAAATTACATCGGAAGTGGTTCTGAAATTACATGCTTTACAGCGTTCAAAGAAAATACACCTTTTACCTTCATCTCTGGAGTACATGCATCTGAACTTCTGAGAATTCCAGGATCACCCCATGATGAATCAAATTGACCTGAATTAGCCAAGTCAAAATCATGCACATGGAGATTAGAGTATACAAGTGTAACTTGTTGCATCGTTTTGGTTAAATTGTTTGTCAATTACTGGTTTTACTCTATGGTATTTGGAAGGTTCTCAAGTTTTTATTCTAGTATCCTTCTAAGCGTAAATATTTGTCGAAACATCTATAGAAAATAAGGAAAATTAAGAGCAACTATGGAAAATGCCTGACGAATGGATGACTAATAACCAGATATTGCATATTTATATCCAAGTCGAGTATGCTGTATGTATGTGTGAAATCAAGCAGCCAGTATGTATCTCTAGCTATCTTCCTTTGGAGAGGGAATTAATACTCATGTAATCGTGTAGGAATAATCATAATTTCACTCTACATATTATTATTTTCTTGTCAATCAAATTATCTACTAGTTATTTTCTTGAAATAATAGCAGCGTAATGCCTATATTCCAAAAGAGTTTTTACCAAATCCGAAGATCTTATTGTTGTAGCCTACATACAATAAAACCAAGACTGTAAAACTTCAACCTATAGGAGCCTCAAGCGCTTACAAATTAGGCATTGATGAATACGCGTATCGATGACCTATTAAGACCTCTCTTTTATTATTTCTGCTAATTGGATTGCTTTATCACTTAACGATTGCTACACATTTATTAATTGAATACTTTTTCTGTTGAATTTCTCCGAGTTATGAAAAAATATCCTATCATAACTGCACAAGTGTGTTTAAAGATTGTCCAACACTGGCAAAAAAATGAGCTACTGAGAAAACTATCAGCAACTCTTTAGCCTAGAACCGTCGAACGGTTAACCCCCACTAAACTAAGCTCCTATAGATAGTCTTTCATTTCTCTTCAAAAAATGGAGCCACGTGTTTCTTTAGATTATTTTGATCAATCTTAACACCGTCTAACAAAGGAGATAAATACCGTTTTTCTTTTACATACTAACATAACAGTGGCCAGACAACTGCGATAATTGTCTCAAACCAAGTATGTCATATTGAGCTGTTTCAATACTCATAGCAGTCATAGGGATACGTACAGCCTCCGTGTATAAGTTATCAAATTCAAGTCAATCAGTACGATTTGGTAGAGCAAAATAAAAGTATTATTTAAAGGACCAGCACTAAATCGTATATATAAGTTGTTCATTGGACAAAAGAACTACAACCGATCATCCCTCATTGCCAGATTCTAATTTATTCCCAAATGTGTGACCGAGACAAACAATACATTGTTCCGGTTCATACTATACAGTTCAAATATACTAAGTGATTGAATATCGAGCATTGAATATAACTACAACAATGCAATCGAATATTGATGGGAAGCATTACCAGTAGCTCCAGATGACGACTCTGCATTTTGGAGCCTCGATCGTTCGTGAGCCTGGAATATATGTGGGCTCTGATCTCTCGATGCACCGCTCTCAGTCGACATACTATCCGAATTACTCCCGTTTTCGATATTTTCAAGAAACGATTTCTCCTTCTTCTTTTTATTAACACTCAAAACCCCATCACTCGCACCAACGCCGCCACCACCACCCACACCTGCAAACGGCCGAGACAAGTTACTCGAACCCAGAGCAGCTCCCTTCTCCCTGCTCCCAAAATTGAAGAAGCTCTCCTGCGGCAACGGCCCCGATCGAGTCTTTATCTTGTTCAACCCCAACGACGACGCCACTATCGGCGACACAGACACAGGGGTGGGGGCAAGAGGCGCCGCCGCCGCCGCAGCCGCCGGAGATGACTCGTCGGACTTCTTCAACTTGGAGGAAGTCAAAATTACGGAGGTGGGCTTGGTTAAATTGACGGTATCTCTACCTTTGAAGGGGTCCTTCTTCTTGAGGAAGCTCTTGGCGGCGCTGGTGGGGGTGGTGGCGGCGGAGGGTGAGGGGGAGATGTCCTTGGAAATGGAAGGCGATAGGGATTTGGGCTTTTTCTTATCGGATCGGATCGGGGAATTGGAGTTCGACCCGAAAGATCGAGGGCTGTTGGATGATCCATCTGGGCTTGAAGTATCCGATTTCTTTGAAGAGAAAAATCTGCCCTTGAACACCATTTTTTTTTTCTTCTTCTTCTTCTTCTTCCCCTTTTGGAGGTGAGTTTTTTACAGTCCAAAAATGGGGGGCTACAGTTGAGAGATGAGAGTGAAGTAGCAGAAGCACATGGGGGGGCGGGGGCGGGGGGTGAAAAAGATGGATATACAAAGTGATTGTGTGTGTGTAATTTTAGTGGGTGATAGTGTGTGTGTGCGTTTCAAGGTTGAGCGGTTTAGCGAAGCAGAAGCGCAGGGAAGAAGGGGGTTGATGTCAAGCTACTATGAAAAAAAGACCTCATTCACTCTCTCTGTGTGTATATCAGTGTGTATTTGTGTGTGTATTAATATATTATATGTATATAAAATATTAAAATGTAGCGTATTATATTTTTTTAAGTTAACGAGGCATATAAAATATTAAAAATGTAGCATTATTATAGCTAAGCACCCGTAATTTATTTTTAATAGGAAGAACCCCTCATTTTCTAACAATCCAAAACAAAACCCCAATAGTTTCTCTTTGTATGCACCCTCCATCCCTTGCTGAAAGAAATCGATCACCGTCTCTTCTAACAATAGTCGTCAAATCATCATCCTCAACTTTTCACAAACATCCACTGAATAGTTACCCTCAGTCGTCGGTCCCACTTCAAAGATTAGAATCAAAAGAAAGATATCGATGAGAGGAATCCAACGTTGTTTGAATCGTCGAATTTCGATCATCGGATCTAGCCCCAGGCAAGCAAAATTGCATAAACACACACAAATTTTTAACGTCATCTATAAAAATTTAGTAGTCCACTATTTCGTTCCCAACGTCAACTGTAGATTAAAATTGATCAATCAACTATAATTTGTCAGATGCTATCTATAAAAAATCCGTAGTCAACTATAATTTTTCATCAGTTAACTATATTAATATTTAATTTAAGATCGAAATTATTGTCCAAATGGAATTCCAGGAACAGAGAAAAAGGAGAGAGAGAATAATAAGGGATTTTTTAAGGTTCAAGAGGAGTTATACTTCTCGGAACATAATTTACCAATTGAATTACCACATAGGATAAGTACGAACGTCATGTGAAATAGTACGATAAGATCTTATAAATGCGTTACATAAATACCCTTTGAGTTAAAACTTAAATAATAATTAATAACTTAGAGTTGATTACAACTTAATTGTCTATTAAATTGTTGTTGGATAAATAACAATCTTACAATTTTTTTCTTCTATCATCTCTTTCTTCTTCTTCTTTCATATTTTGTAAACCCTAAACCATATTTTTTCCCCTTATCTCTTCTTTGTTTATTCCAGCCTCTTTATTGTGTATTCTTCTGATTGATCTTTAACTCTAACATGCAACGTTTCTGTTTCATCTTCTGGCAATCCCTCTATAGCCGTCAAGTGCTATGACCAATATTATTTTCTCTTATGTTGATCATAAGTTATTCAGTTTGAAGGTATTGGTTGAACTATCATTAATTTGACAAGTCGATGCTACGGTGTCTGTTTCAACAAAAGTCAAGTATGAGCATTACTTGTCTGATCACCCTGTTAGTCTACACTCTTCTTTTGACACATGTGAAACTAGTTTAGATGACGAAGAGGAGATTACCACAGTAATGATTCAACAACAACAACAATATGAATTGCTCAAAACATGTCTTGTTTTAGATGAAATGATTAAGGCCTTAAAAACACAAGTTGCTGAACTCGAGAAAGAAAAAGAGGTACTTGTATTTAAATTAGATCTAATGTTGAGAATGTAAGATAAAAAATAAATTTTGAAAAATCTCAACCTTGTATATGTACACTTCTTTATTAGGCTTTATTTTCAAAAAATTAATTTCAAGGTATTTTTAAAATGAGGTTATTTTACATACCCCCCTAGCCACCAAATAAACTAGGGATAAACCCAAGCCCAAATCATCATTTGACATACCCCCCTGGGGAAGCGAAAGTACTATACTACCCTTATGTGCAATTTTCGGTCAAACTGCATTCAGCATTTATGATCCTGTATTTATCATTTTCGCTGATTTATTTATTATTACTATTATTATTTTTTTTAAATCTGTTTGTTAAATATATATATATATATATATATATATATATATATATATATATATATATATATATATATATATATATATTTATTTATTTTTTTAATTTTTTTTATAAATAAAAAAAATTATTTTTTTTTATTTTTATTTTTTATTTTTTTTTTATTTTCAAAACAATATGTTTACAGTACTGAAAATAACTACATGTAACTATAGTACCTATAGTAATTCATAGTTATGTTCGTTTTTTCCCCATATTTTTAGTCGATCAATTGTACGTATACACACATGAATACTGACTTATACAAAATAAATTCATAAAACCCCAACAAAAATTTACAAATTTAAATATTTTTATATAAATCACATCAGAACCAATAAAATACAAATCGAAAATACATAAATATACGCATATGTAACTACATGTAACTACATGTTACTATAGTAATGTATAGTAATGTATACAGTCTGTTGAACAGATCTGATGTAACTTAAAAAAACAAAAATTTGACACCTTCAAGGAAAGGATCAATGGCCTTCATTAAGCTGTAATTGCAAAATCAAAACAAAAAGAAATTAAAATACTTTAGTGCAAATCAACAAATTTGAATAAAAACATCAAAACACTCAAAAATCACCAAACATTAAGAGATCGAAAGATAGAGAGAGAGGTTATTGCTGGGAAATGCAAAAAAATATAGAAATAAATCTGAAAAGATAAAAATAAACGAAATTACCATCAAATTATAGATCCCGACGAGAGGAATCCAACGGTGGATGACCCGTCAAATTTCGACGGGTGGAACACAAAATAAAGCTCCGGCAAGACCACCGTTCTCGAATGAAAAAAAATTGCAGAAACAGATCCGCGCTCGAAACTGAATGAAATCACCACCAAAAGAAAGAGCTCGACGAGAGGAATCCAACGGTAGTTAAACCATCGAATTCCGACCACCGGATTATGGCTCCGGGAAGCAATTTCGCCGGTGAGAGGTTTGTAGAGGCGAGATTTTGAATCTGGGAGAAGAAGAGAGACCGTGAGTGGCTAGGGTTAAAACAGATTTTAGAAGGGTATTATAGGAACTTCAGGGTAGCCCAGGGGGGTATGTCAAAATATTTTCGAAATGAGGGGGGTTTCACCTAGAGTGTAATCCACTTGGTAGTTAGTTCTATATAATTTGGAAATGAGGGAGGTCTACAAAATAATCCCTTTTAAAATTTATTTGGTTCAACATAAATTAGAAATTTATGTTAGAATAATTTATATTACCAATGCAAGATAAAAAAAGAGTTTTTGTAAAATATTAATTTATAGAGAATTGAATTATTTGTCAATTATTACATTACATCCAATAAAAGAGAAGAAGTTTTAATAGAATTACAATTTAAATACAAATTAAATTGTATTTGAGGGGTAAGTGATGCAAATGATATTTGAAAAGGTTAAATGTTACACAAAAATATTTTAAAAGGACAAGTATTATGTATGCAATATTTTAGGGGTACAACGGTGGTGTTTGCAAAAGTTTTTCCGAAGTGATTATGAACTTTTTTTTCTGTCAAAATCAGTTTTTTTTTTAAACATTAAAATGCTCATAATCACTAAGGAATAGCGTTTGCAAACACCACCAAAGTGTATTTTGATCATAAAAAAAATGAATTATGTTTATTTTTTTTGTTTGAATAGAGATTTGGTGTGATTTTTTCATGAAATCTTATCATAAAAAAATAATTGCTATAGTTTTGAAAATAAATATTGAAATTTGAAATATTTTAGAAAAAAAAAAAGAGTTTGTAAATGAAATTAAAGTATAACGGGTTGGACCTATAGATGATTTATGAGGGAACCAGCCCATTTTCAACCCAATTCAAAGTTTCTTGCCCAATCAAATATGACCCATTTTCTGATTCCCCCTTTTTTCTTTCTTTTTTCTTAATTATATATATCTACTCATATTAGCATCATTATGAACCCTTGAATTATTATTTTTCATTCCAAATATTGATAAAAATATTTTAAAAATATTTTTATAGCTTATATGTACCTCTATATTTTTAATATTTACATATTTCCCCCACATTCCAGTATCCATTTTTTTGAAAAATTGAGTTTTCTCGTGTTTGTTTTCTCGTTTCACCATGTCCAAGTTTCCCTGTCCGTGCTACATAGCAGTACATTTTCATGTTCTTTATGTTGTTTTTGGTTTCATTGTTTTAACTTTTAACATTTTTGTGGGATTAAAGATACCTTTTTAGTCTCCATCAAGTAGGGGGGGTATTTTATATATATGTATGGAGGACAAAACACTCAAAATAAAAAGAAACTTGCCACAGAACACATGGAAATCTAAAAAGTTTAAGATATTTCAAAAAAGTTGTTAGTTCCACACAATTAAGTTGGTAGAGCCTTATTCGAAATTTATGTCCTTATAATTTCAATTTTTTATTTTAAGGATATTTTGCCAAATTAAGTTGTAACCTAAAGTTTGTATTGCATACACCTAAACTCATAAATTAAACTGAATAAAGTTTTTTTTTTTTTTTTTTTGTCCAAACACCCACGACTTTCATAAACAAACAATTATTCATAGTTATAGAGGTTGTTTGGCTAAACTTATAAGATATTTAAAAACTTATAAGCTTGCTTTTTAAAGTGATTGGTAATTTAGAAAAAAAATGAGAAAATAAGATGTTCGAAAGCTTCTAAGATCTTTATAATATATATATATATATATATTCCCACTTTTTTATTTAACATCTTAGAAACAGTAAAAACAACTTATAAGCTTATTATTCAAATACTTTAAAAATTAATTCAAGAAATAAGACGTAACAATTTATCAGTTCTTACTCACAATCATCAACTTCAACTTATTCATACCTTTTTTCAAACACCACCTAGAAAGGTAAGAACTTTAAGTTAATTAGGATGCTGGTATAATTATAAACAATCTGCGTAAACGAAAAATACTTACTTGTTTGTCGAAAAGAGGAATTGTGAAAAACACAAAGAACGATCGAGGCTTGCCAAAGCAATTCCCTTAAGACAATATTTCCGGGCTGTCAACGGTGCACAGTCTCTTCCCGGTAGTCTCCCAAGGTACAACGATCGGTTGTCAAATATTTGCACGAATATTCGACCCACGGCGAACTTGAACAACGAACAGAACTTTGACGAAGGAAAAGAAAAATATGAAGAACTATCTCTTAATTGCCGATTA